TTATTTTTTCTTAATTTTTCTTTAAAAATTACAAAATTTTTTTGTTGTCCATTTTCAAGTGTAATTCAAAATAATTTGGGTTAAAAATTAAAAAAATTTCATAAATTTTCTGTTCATTTTTAAAACTTATTTTTATTTTTGTAAAGTTGAGATTTTGTTGTAGAAAGAGAATCAAAAAAGTATAGTTTTGTTATTAAATATACGGGGAAAAGCAAAAAAACTCTAACTAACTAACCTAGTTTATTAAGATTATAAACATAAGATAAAGCTCTTCTAAGATAATTTTGAATTTTAATGCTTTTACGGAAGGGTACTTTGTTTTTTCAACTATTTTTGACTATTAAAAGATTTACTTGAGAAGAAATTCAAAATTACCAAACTTGAAAATTTTAAAACGCTGAAAGAAATGGTTGGATGTCTTAGATAAACACTTGAGAGACGGAAGAAAATAATTGAAAATTTCCTGCTTCTTAGAAGCATTGATGAAACAAGACAGACACCCAAAATTTTAATGTGTTATTTTTAACAAATACCTGGCATTTTGCTCTGGAATTCCGATATTTATTACGATCGAAGTAAAATGTCAAACATTTCTGTAATTATTTATGATGAAATGACGACTTTATGCAAAATCTAAGAGAAATCATAAATAAATTTTGATATTTTTCCTTCAAGGTCACAATTAATTTTATTTTCTTTTTGTTTTTCTTTAATAGTGTCTACTTATATAAAAATTGCATTAACGAAAATTTGAAAATCAATGAATTATGTGAAAACTATAACAAATTTTCTTCAATGACATTTTTATTATGCCATTTTCCAAAATATACTTAAAGCTATTTAGATTTAAAATCTTTTTTTATGCGTTAATATTTTAAGATTTTCGAAATGGTATTTAAACAAAATTAAGAAATATTTCATTCAATTTGTAAGGCTAAATCAGGAAAATTCAACTCAATTTTATTCTTAAGCAATTAAGCTGTATTTTCATTAATAAGTATGAGATTATTTAATCGAGGCTTTTAAATTCATGTGACAACAATTTAAAAAATAATCTATGATAGGATTGGTTCTTGTCTTCAAAATCGTATCGTATCATAGACGCTTTAGTGTTATTAAAATTTTTGGAGACTTCAAATATTTTCATACAATACGACGAATTTTAAATTATTTTTATTTGTCTAATTCTTTAGTTTCCAAGTATGTAGATGAAATCAAATATTTTTTAGTGATCAGAACAAAATATAAAAATTAAATACTTATAAGAACAATACTCATATATGTGTACATATATGTGAATATCAATTTTACTTATTTATTTTAATTTCAGCCTTGATAATCAAAAAATTCTGAATATAAAAGAAATCGTAAGTATATTAAGAGCGTATTTGGGTATGAATAAGCAAATATTAAATCGATGAAAATTTTTCATTAGAAAATAAAAAAAATAAAAATAATATTACAATTTTAGTAGAAATGTCAAAATAAGAATTTATAGATATTTAAAAAAATTTAAGGGGGAAAAAATAACTGATTATGTCATGGATGATTTCAAAAATTAATTATGAAATGTAAAAACTTTGCAAAAATATTTAACTATGATATCCGGTCGTAGATCTGGGGTGGGAGGAAGGAAAAATTTAATAATTATTTATGTGGAAAATTTGCGTATATATTGGAAAAAATTGTCGCGCTTTCTAATAAAATAAAAGTTAAGACAAACGCACTTGATTAAATTAAATAAGACTACATTAGGCCACAATGCACCGCGGCCCTGTCTTTCTGGTAAATTCGAGTCGATTTCTTGGAACTCTTTTGCTGCGGGAGCGTAAGCATCCAGAAACTCCCCTCTTCTGTGGATCAACCCTATTCGCTCACCTAGGAAATGCATTGATGTCTTCTACATTTCGCAATAGAACCTGCAAGTGGCGCCAATAGGCCTAACCTCCATTGTCCCCAGTATCCCGTTATGAGACCAATGAACATTCTGACCTGGTTCCTGCTTTTTGTTTTTATCCTCCTTAACCTGCCGCAGCTCACAACGACCCCTCTAAAACTTTTACCTCGCTATTTCCACCGGCTTCTTCCTCAGTTCAACCCGAATACTTTGCGACCCAACTTCGCACAGTTATACCCTCCAAGTATTCCACACTTATTACCCTTCATATCAACTTGCCCCGGCACCTAACTTATCTAAACCTATCAAAATTATCAAAACAGGCGTACATCACACTAGAGGTTACTGAATCGGTTTACGGTAAATATAACAAAAGATTTTAATTATAGGCTTTGTGCTCCACGATAAAAGACGTTTTTTATAACAAAAAAAGCGTTTTTGGATGACTTCTTTAATTATAGCTCCTTTTGTACATAAAATCGAAAATTTTTTTGCATCTGAGCTCAATTAATATCCGAAATTTTGAAGATACTAATCGAGTTTGTAAAAAATAGTCAAAAATACCCGGTCAATAATTTTAATAGTAACTTAAAAAATCCAAAATACTTTGAATTTTAAGTTGATTCTATCTAACACTTGAAATTGTTTCATACTTTGATCACTTATATTATTTCATTTACTGACCACTCATACCTCGGAACTCATAGTGTACGCATTCTGGTCTAATTTTATTTTTTTTTTATAACTATTTTTTAATTATCATTAAAATTTACCTATAAACCTAAATAAATTACATTAAAATAAACTTACTTTATTAAAAGTATCTCTTTTTTTCCTAAGACCTTAATTTAAATTTTTATTTTTGAAATACATGTGACACAAAACACTAAAATAAAATTTCATCTGAATAATGGGCTTTTACTAAAACAACAAGAAAAATGTTTTTTTTTTGTGTTAATTTTATTTATTTCGTATTTCTGATTATCCCATAGAAAATATAAAAATACGAAAATATGCTTCTTGAGCAAATATAATGTGCAATAACAGAAACCAAAATGAATTTAGCATAAGAATTCTCCTATTTTTTGAATAGTTGGTCAAGCAATTGTAAGATCATGAATTTGATGGGTGACAATATTGTGACTATCAATGATTAGTCGAACCAAATTTGATTATTTTACCAGTTACCGTTCTAAAAGTATATTACATTTATATATGCAATATTATTTACTGAGTTTCTTTATTAGAATTAAATGGCGTCCATTGAAACTTCAAACTTCAGCCGAATTTTAAATCGAACAAAATCAAACCAAAACTTACTTTCCGAACAAGCAAATAGATTAGGTTAAGATGCACACTCACCATGTCAATCGAAAATAAACCATTTACTTACAAAGTTTTCTTCATTTAAAAAAATCTTTTGCATAATTTTAAACGCGTTTTCTGGCTAAACTAAAAGGGATAGAGCGATTCTAAGAGTTTTTTTGTGATCACTGGAAATCCACAGATTCTGCCAATATATGATAATAGGCTGTAGTAAAAATATTTTTGGAGATATTTAAAAAAATCTTTTGCAAAATTTTAGACGCGTTTTCTGGCTAAACTAGAAGAGATAGAGCGATTCTAAGTGTTTTTTGTGATCACTGGGAATCCACAGATTCTGCCAATATATGATAATAGGCTGTAGTAAAAATATTTTTGGAGATATTTAAAAAATCTTTTGCAAGACTTTAGACGCGTTTTCTAGCTAAACTAGAAGAGATAGAGCGATTCTAAGTGTTTTTTGTGATCACTGGGAATCCACAGATTCTGCCAATATATGATAAAAGGCTGTAGCAAAAATATTTTTGGAGATAATGTACTGTATGATAATCTGCACTTGAATAAGGGTAATTATAATCGAACATGTTTGATTTGACCACATAATTGGTTACATCTCTATATAATTAACACTAAATTTTCCATAATTTGTTGATAATACAAATATTTGTTGATAATACTTAGGGAGCTTGCAAAGCAAAAATCAAATGGTAGTACAATCAAATTGTTCGACAAAGGAAGGCCGTCGTTATTCTGAGTGTTTTTACGTAGAGAAAAAAGACTTTTCGATATTTATTCGAACCTGAACTAAACAAGTAAACATTGTAGAATTTTTACTAATATTTAAAATGTCGGTGTTTTAAATGGAAAGACAACAATACACATGTTCATACTTGATGACATTTCATATTAAATACGCATGCATGATATATACAAAATGCTTAATCTACTGATATGCAACCCAACATTATGTGTGTATACACATTGTGTATCTCATTTACATATGTATTTTATAATGAAAAAAATCTATTTTTAAAAATATTTTCGGTTTGGTTAATAACATGTACCGGTTGGCACACTTATTATATACACATATACTCATAATAATATTTTAGCCTTTAACAAGTTCACATATAGAAGAAAATGTATTAATAAAACATTGCGTAATATACTTCTTTAATATGAGTAAAAAGAAAAAAGTTAAATATTTATGTAGATTAAGAGAGAGGAGAGAAGAAGAAATGAGACAGGAATAAAAATAATACTTTTTATTTTTGTTTTTCTGATTCTTTTTTTCGTGTTATTTGTTTACTAACCTAAATTTGTAACATTTTACAGCAAATCACTGGTTACAGATACGTAAATAGCTACAATTTTTGGCAGTTAATAAAGCTTTTTAACAAAAACTTATAAATATGTGCTTCTTAGGAATACAATCATTAATTACAACAATAACACTATATATAAGTATATAGACAAGTTATGAATATAGAAAGAATGGTTAATATTAGTAGCTTTGTGAGGGAAAACCAATCTATTTACTTAGAGAGGAAAGAAAATAAAGAAAATGAGAAAAACATATTGAAAAAATAAAAGAAAAAGCAAATCATAAGAAAAGGCACACGCTCTTTTGTACGTGATTCCATACATTTGGATAAGTGTTAACATTGTTTAGAACTCTTTAAATTATTTATAGAATCGCCTTTAATTAAGGCTCAACATTTTGTGTTACAAAATACTTTAAAAATAAAATATAGATTTAACGATAATAACATTATGTTACCTTAATGCCAGCACTTCAACACCTCGCATTCTTTTTATTATCGATACGTCACTTAATTCGCTTCCCCTGTAAAATAAAATGAAAGTAAAATTAAATTTTATTTGAAAAAAATCAATTTTTCTTTTAATTTGCATAATTAAATTTTTAGCATTTTATTTTATACATTATTCATGTTGCTCATTCATTACGTTGCAAGCATAGAAAACATGTCATACCATACAGTATGTTTGATTGTTGTATTTACGCGAATTTTTGTTATGTTATAAAAAATATTGTTTTTCTCCTACAAAAGAATAACAACATGAGTAAATAAAAACTGAATGTAAAGCATTTTAAATATGTTTTTTTTTTCATACCAAAATTGGGGTGGTGTAGATAATATCCGATAGAAGAATGGAAATAGTTGCGTTACTTGTAATGTAACTAAATATTAAATTAAAGTTAAATGTTGGGTAAACGAAAAAGATTATTTGGAAGATGACTTTTGTTATTCGTTTAATAGAAATCGTAAATTTAGTAAATTTAGTACAATATTATACTTATATATTTGTTAATGGAAGAATATTCCTTAACAACAGGAAGTTTGTAACACTTCCAGAACTGAACAAAAATTAATCAAATTTATTCCAACTAAAACAGTTCGCAAAGCATTAAGAAAATTGCTTCAAAATTTTTACAAAGTTACTAACAATAGCATTCAGAAGGACGGCGATACGTTTTTGTATTTTCAAATCAGATATAAGGCGGCTTTGAAAGAATAGTGTGAGAGACATTAGTATTTATATATCTATAGTGCATCGCGGTACTTAGTAACCTAAGAGAAAGCCAAACGAACTGTCTAAATGAAGTGTGGGAAGTGACATAACATAAAAAGGAGGTGAACTTTTTTCGGGCGGCTCTATTTTATTAGTGTTTTAAAATCATTTCTAGATTGTCTAGATATTTAAATCTTTTCGTCCAGCTAAGCTTTGAGGCAATGCTTGCATTTGTGCCTACTCATTTTTCTCTAAATATTTATAGGCGGGCGGAAAATGATGGCATGGCAAAAAACTAAGTGACTTAAACTGAACTCGTTATGTTTTAACTGGATTCAAATATTTAGGCTGATTAATACCTAGCTCTTCGTTCTCCCGTCTTTTTGTATATACACGTATTATCTTTCTTTCTAGCGTTAGCAGCCGAGTTGATATTCCACCAATGAAAAACGACATTCCCGTTTCCGAAATCGTGCTGAGTGAACCCTCAGTATCGTACCAATATTATAAACGATTTGAAGAATACTCCGTGCCGAAAGTACCTGCATACATCTTCGTCTAATATAACAGTATTACAGTAATACATAACAGGCTTAATTTTTTTGAACTTAAGACGTCTATTGTTAAGGCGGGACCGTACCATATACTACATATTTTATGCTTAATTTCGTGAAAATTTTTATAAATGATATCAAGTTCATTTTCAAATTTTCCCTTTAAACCTTTTCTATGCCCCAATTATAATGATATCGCTACAACTAGAAACTTAATATTAAACACTTATAATATTTTATCTAGTTACAACCATTACTTATAATAAGTAATTTTCATTTTTATGAATTTCACTAAATTTTAAATGTTAAAAGTTAGTCAACTTTTATGACCAAAAATAATATTCAAAATGTTAAAATATGAACAAAAAAGGAAAAGGAAAATATTATTATATTGTTCATAAAAACTTTCGCTATAAATTTACAAAAATCTTATAATCATACTCTAAATTAAGTTGGCACTTATTCAAAAAACAAAAAAAAAATTATAGTACTCAATTAGCTTTAAGTGTACACAACTAATAAAAAAATTATGTTCAAGGTCATTTTTTTTCTGTATTTTTTATATTTTATAATTAACACCTTACACGCGCATATTCATACATACACGTAGAATACGATGCTAAACGAAAGTATTACATGCACATTATATCAAAAATATGGTTAAAAATTACATTCATTCAAATCCTAAATGAAAGCTTTTATTTTTAATACTTTGCTTAAAATTTATTACAGTAAAACGCAGTGGTGCCACATGTTATATACAAGGCACCCAACATAGTTTGAATCCAAAACATCATCTGAAACAACAATTACATACTTGTTAAAAATATAGTTGGGTCAAACCAATGGTTTGTATTGTAGCACTCTTCCCTTCAACAAGTGAAAATACTGCTTTTAAATACAATCTATGTATACCTATCACACTATTAAAATTATTTTCATTCATATACAAAACTATTTCTAGAATTGCATATATTTAGGATGATGCATATATGCAGTCTTTGAAATAAAGCAAAAATTAATATAAAGTGGGGTTAACATAATGCTCGATTTTAAGGTCTAATTGTGTGAGTTAAGAAAAATAATTATATTTTTTAATGTCATGGAATTTACCGTTAGCTTTATGTGTTTATAGAAATTTGAAAAAGCTTGCGGTTGCGGAAATCTTAAGTGCCAAAAATTTAAATTTTACAGATTTCGAAAGGCGATAGTTTGAGACGGGGTTTATTATTTATTAGATTCTAAAAGCTGTTAAAATTTCAGCCTCCTACAACGTACGGTGTAGAAGAAAAACGGTATCAAAAATTTGGAACAAAAGAAACCGCTATTTTTCTACGTTTGCAAAATTTGGAAAATGCTTATGATTTCACTGCAATAAATGGTCAAAAAATGGCATTTTTGAAAAAGTTTCTAGTAAAGATTTATGTGAAAATATATAATTTCAGCTTTCTACCTTCAAGAATGTAAAAGTTTTGTAAACATGTCCACTGATGGATAAATGGACGGACGGAGTGAAACTAATGAACACTTTTTTATCAAACATTTTTTGGAAAAGTGCTTAAACAATAAATGTGTAGTTGGATTAATTTGGAAATTTTTAGCTACCCATGTTTGAAACTTGAAAATTCTTAGTTATAACACTATATATATATTACTTTTTTTTGTGCCAAAACTATAATAAAAAATGAAAGCAACAAACAATGTATGTAACTTTCATTTTCATATATTAAAAAAAAAATTAATAACAATGCGTAAATTAAAATTTTATATTAGTTAAAAAAAAAATGTATTAAATGTGCTCGAGGGAGCGTATCTATGCTTATATCTTCCCTCTAACTCAAAATCTCTATATGAATTTAATTGCTTGCTTGCTTGCATACATAAAAAAAAATTTATTAATAGATTCAACTGAACTTTAAATTTTTTAATTAGTGTTTATAACAATATATTTTATACCATCTTTAATATACGCTATTGTTTAGAGAGATTTTAATTTTAATGGCACAACAATAAATAAATAGATACTTGAAAATATCACCATATTTAGATGCACAAGTATACAACTAACAGTACACAATAATATGGTAAATAAATAGGACCAAGTATAACGTATGCAAGTAGCTGTCTAACAATATACTTGTAATTTTATTAAATATATAATTATGTACAATAAGTGTGTATTATATAGGAAAGTTTTCTATTGCAGTGAATTGAAACAAAGTTGCAAAGTTAGTTTTGCGTCTAAATAATGCATGTATAGTATTACTTTATAATTTGCATCTCTTTCATTGTACTATTACGAAAAATAAAAAACCCCAAAACCCAAAACAAAAAAATAAAAATCATATATACATACATATATACAAATATGGTGAACGTCAAATTATTTTGGATTTAATTTTTTTGGAATTATTTTACAACAAAATAGAGGATAAAGACCATAGATCCCACACATAAATTAATTAATTTGAAAATTTTCAATTATGTTGGAATATTTGAAATAGCCAAACATTAAATATATATATATACAATATCCACGGGCTGCAAAGTGAATTACAGTACTATAAACTTAGTAAGTACAATTAAATATTTAATAAAAACTGTTAAATTTATTTTAATAGAACTAAAAACGATCTTAACCGACTATATTATACCCAAAACCTTGACAATAATCTGACTACAAAAACTAGTTTTTGAAATACTAAAATTATTTTTTACAGTTTTATGGCAGCTACCTAAACCAACGCCTGCCATTCTATTAAAATTTTCAGAAAATATATAAAAGATGTAGTAATTGGATACACGTTTACAAAATTCCAAATAAAATAATTTTTATTGCAGCGACTATCCGAACCCGTTGTCCCAATTCATCCAATTACAGAAGGAGTCGTCAGTGGCAGAAAAAAAAAAGAATTTGTAAAAGTTTTGGTTTTTGCTTTATTCGTTTTTAAATTATCGTGCGATTGGATGGAGGAACATGTCTTAATCAACATAGAATTTTACTATGAGCAGGAATATATATATTCTTGTTTACACTACATACAACTCCTTCAAGTGGTTATAAACTCCAGACCAATATTGATGTACCCCCTTCACTAAAGTGCAGGTATAAAAATAATTCATTTAACATATAACTTGACCGTTCTACAATTTCAGTTCAAAATATTTTAATATTGAATGCAAAAATGGAAATTAGAAGCAGAGAACAAACGTTTTTTTGTATTTAAAAACAATTGCTCTCTGAAAAAATTGACATGGAAGCCGAAAACGAACAAATTTGGAATATTGAATATGAATGTTGAAATGGGTTTATTACAATAAAATCAATTCATTTGTATAGCTGCTGATAAGATAAGTAATTTCGTACCAAGATTAATTCTCATTTACCAAGAGATGATTGTCCATGCCCATCTCCATCACTGTTATCATTATTTTTGAAATTATAAGTACTGATGTAAGTATTTACTGATGTGCTGACATAATGTCGATGAGTAAGTACAAGCAAATTCACCTTTTTGTTTAAAAATTGAGAGTTTAATTAAAAATTTAATAAAATATTGAAATGGCATGTTAAAATAAACAAGAGATTTAAAATACACCATATGTACACAAAATCTTATATAATTTATCATATTAAAGTTGAATTTCTGGCATGATTACGCGATAGTGATAAGAATGAGTAATCACTTATATATAGTAAATATTATTTTTACAATATCCTGCATAATTTTAATGTATATACACGACCTTCAAAATA